TTTCTATTTTCTCCTTAGGCATCAAGATTTTTACATTACGAAGCTTATCATATATGTATCTGGAAGTTTTATCGATGCTTCTAATATCTTCCAATAGACTAAGATGTGGATTGGCTTGAGGGGTTTTTACTAAATTGTTTTTCCATGCTTGGGGTATACATGATAAAACTTTTAAATAGGATTGCATGTCATTATAAAAATCAGAAAAGCAATAATGATGAAAAATGATTGGAAACATTGCAATTTGGTGTTTTGAATCACAGATATCTTCAATAAAACAAATACTTTTTCTATTCCAATCTTCAATATATAACATTTTCCCTTTACTTGATATCTTTTTATTGAACCACAGTGGTTCATGCAAGTGACTTACATCAGTAACAACTTTAGATTTAAAGTTGATTTTAGAGTATCTCTTAAACATCTAGACTTAATGTTTTTAATAAATATTCCAAATGGATATACATTTTCATAGAACAAATTCATTCCTCCATATAAATTTAGGAAAAAAATTTCTATAGATTTCCACGAAGCATCAAATTCATCAATCACTAAAAATTTAACTCATCTTAATTTAAGACCAATGAAAAATGATTCAATATCTATCATATTAACCCCCCTTCCCCTATAGGTGCAATTAACGTGTTACGTTTTATTCTCTCCCATTTTGAACCCCACAAGAATTCATAGCATATTCATATCTCATGTTTTAGGTAAAAATATGTTTTACTGAATTTGATATATAAACCAACTAATAAAGGGGTTTAGTCAGAAAATTAACAAGAATTCGTGGCACCATATACTTGATAGATCGAACTATACAATATAGACCGGTATGAGTGAAATGTTAGGTGAACTTGTTAACCCTTTGATTCAATACGCAAATAAAAGTGATTGAGCAATAGTATGTTACAGCAATGAGTATATATCCTCATCGGTTAAAAAAATCTAAATGGAGGTGCATGGACTATTTGAAACCATAAGAGGTAAGTAAATATGCAATTTCGGCAAATGGGCAACTACGTATCGTACTGAATTAATAACTTCGTAGTATTTGAAAAAGCTGGCTTTCCCACATGTACTTAACAGTGCGATGCCCGGGTGTGATATACAACAATAGTATTTACCTTACCTTTTTCCGATTTCCCTTTAACTCATTTTTCCAAAATATCATTAAAATCGACAACAACTGTCAAAGCAGGCACAAACACCATTCGTGCTATGCCTTGAAAGCAGCACACATCCGCTCGTTTTTGTCTCGTCAAGTATGTGCATTGGAGCGTGTTATCGGATACGATCTTTGGTCAAGAATGCCGGAGTTGCGCATCATGTTGTTTAATGTCATTCTCATTGGTAACATACAAGATGTGTTATGTACGATTAGTTTTTAAGATTTAAGCAAAATTTTACAGTTTAAAAATTGTGAGAAAACCTAAAAATGTTGGTCAAAGTTGTTTTTTATTGTTTATTGTGAATATTTTTGATGAATAATAAACTTGGTATAAATATAATGTGGTTATTACAAAATAATGTGGTTTACAGTATCGTGTTTCGATCTTGAATGACACATAAGGTGGCACGAAAGTCTTCAGTGCTTAGTTAGGTTAGGATAGGATTTACATATTTATCCCGGGGAGAGGAAAGCCGATAAAGACTGCTTATCCATATGGCAAACAATGGCCTCTCGTCCGGTTACCATTCCATGTCGGGTATGGGATTAGTTAGTTACGGTACTTGTTTTACGGAAGCATGGACTTGACGGTGGAGGAAGCCGCAACCGACCAACGGTTACGTGCACCACCCTACGGCAGCGAGGAGTCTAACAACCATCCCTGCATGGGATTCGAACCTGCGCACCCACGCAGAGTAATCATAGGTGCGGTGGCGAGCTTATCCCTAGCGCTTGGCACAATAAGCCTGGTAGTTGACCAGTTATTTGTTTCATGTCGGTACATATGAGCGTTTCTCTTATTATTTCTTATCGCATCCCCCATTCATGTACAATTAATGAACTCTGGCAGATTTCTTTATTTGTTGCTAGTTCTTATACCAGTGGTGGATACAAGGTTATACGGTTGTCTGCATGTGTGCAGCCATGTTCAACCCAAAAAAAATTTTGTCGGTCTCAAATTATGTTTCATTTTTTTCATGGACCCAACATCATGAAGCATGGTATACTTTTATTTGTCCGGCTAGTGCGAAACCTATTTTTGAAATGGTATTTGCCCACTTTTTAATAAAGACTGGCATTATGGATATAGCGCCAGGTAATAGGTTCACAATTTTTTCTTTTGGGAATCATTCACATAAATAAGGACGACACAATGCATTTCCATTTGGTTAGTATTGGAAACTAGTCCCTAACAAGCAACAACGTCATTTTAGTGTAATTTTTTTTTCCCATTCAGCCACGGGTACCTCAAATCTGTGGTTTCCCAAAGATTATTAGGTATAGTTGTTTATACTCAACAGCCTTCTTCCACCAGAATGTTGAATGAGTACATGAAATTTTAGAAAGAAATGTGAACATTCCATCGGCGTGGAGCCAGCAGTATGCTTCGGGGTAATATCGCATCGCAATTGTTCGATATGCAAGAATGATTATATCTGATAAACACTGGAACTTACTTTAAAAAGGTGCAAGTGGGTTTCATTATAAATAGCTGGTTAGGGATCAGTATTAAAAATTCCTGTGGGCTGGACACCGCTGATATAAAGCATGCTTGCTGCCATACGTCTAACCAGTGATTTCCCTACACCCCCCCTATAGGGGGTGAACACCCCCCCTAAAATTTCAAACACCTCCCCTAATTTTGAGGTGCGATTCCACACTGAGGGGTTATAAACCGCAGTCTGCGCGCCAATTACGGCCCGCGTGACCATTTAAAATGGCCCGCCGAACTTGAGTGAAATAGTTTAACCCTTCATGTGGTACCTTTTGAGTTTTAGATACCGTCTATTGTTACATCATTATCACAGTTTAAGCACGTTTATTTCGTAACAATTGAATTATTCCGGTATCTTATGTATAGGTACGGGTATAATGATTACACACTGCAGTGTTTTAGATATCAGCCGTATATTAAGAAAGCTTAAAGATGTCACAAAACGAAAACTAGGCACTGAAAACAGACGTTTTTTAGATGAATGACAGCGTTTTTATTTCTTTATTGAAAAGAATCAAACTTCAGCGATTTGTCTTCTTACCAACAAAATATTTCAGTTCTGAAGGAATACAACATTATGATCAGTTGACGAGCGTATTTCAAAATTTAATTCATACAAAAGTCAAACAAACATGTTCAAAAAAATTAGAAATGTGTAACAAAACTAGCCATAAGTAGCCATTCATACAATGACAGATGAGCAAGTAACTTCATTAGTCACTATCATTTGCAAATTACTTGTTGAAACGTAGTAGTATATATTTACGGTTGAAAGCCGTGCTTGTTATCTATTCCCCGGGAATTCTATCAGCTAAATATTATAATTATTGATTTTATTACATAACAAACTGCGATGCTAGGTGTATCTAAAACCAAGCTTAGAGCCTATTTTGGTGCCTATTTCTCAAATTTTTCTCAGGGCGCTTAAGCGCGCCCTGAACCCCAGCCGTGTCGTCCCGCACTTTTCTTCGCTCCCCCCCCCCTTTTCTGGCCCTACAATTTCATTCTGCTGTGGATTTTGACTCGCCGTCAATCAACTTGGGGGGGCTCCCATGTACATCGTCTCTCAAATACATACCATTTTTTTAAGAATACAAATAGCCTAGTTTGATCTCTGATAGCAAATTATTTACCACCCCCTAAATTTGGAAACACCCCCCCTAAAGAGAAAAGCTGGGGAACATACTGCGTCTAACTACCCTGCAGGAGTTTTGAGGATTTGAATCCTGTGAGGGATAATTATGTTGAACTGGACTTCTCGCCATCGTGAGGCAAGGCTGATTGGTTATGGATTCCTCCACTATTTAGTGTCATATCATTCAGTTCATGCATCTGAAACAAGGAACCTATCCAAGTTCCCTTCCTGGGATAAACATGAAAATCCTATCTGAAGTTTTAAAACCATACCATTCGAGCGTCAAGTCAGTTTCGAACCAGGCTATATTCAACGCCAGAGTCCCAAATCAAGTCCATTTGCTGTTGTTTCGAGTCAAAGTAACAACAATAATAAGATAGATAAAAATCACATGGACACCAAGACATCTCAAGTTTAAGCCACGTTACTTTTACAACATTTGTTTCGGCTATTTAGAGTTATTACTTCGAGAAGCTACACTTTTTAATGCAACATTAATCTAGTTATACATTTCACTGGAATCATTTTTCTATTCCAAAGTCTGCTTAAAATTGTTTTAAAGTCTCAAGTCAAGTCGCTCTGTCAGTTGGTTGAGTTTGAGTCTTCACTTCGAGTCTTTGAAAAAGGCAAATTGGGTGACAGTGGTGAATGAATTGGGAGCGACGGTTCGAGCTCAGCGCGGACAGTTTTGATTTTACAGACGAGAAACTGTATATTAACCCATGTTAAGCTTCTGTCTTCGGAGTGTTCAAAATTGTGACTGTCCACTTGTGCGAAATAAGATTCCCATGGTACGTGTCCTCTATGACAAAGTATAGAAGCAGATGCCGAAATGGAGATGTACATTCATATATCCACTTACAAACATATAGGTGCTCCTGTAGTATGTGAATCAAGATGGCGGGCACAGGATCGCAGTATGTGTACCAGGTTAGGCCATACTTTTATTCCAATTTTCTTTATTTTATTTCTATCACGAGTTCGTGGACTAGCCAAGTGACCCCCGTAGTATTTTTAACTGAAAATTATGGCCTAACCTGGTGCACATATAACGTGCCATTTTGGTTCACGTACTACATGCGTACCAACATAGATATATGAAGACCTCTAATGGTGAATTATCTAGAATTGAATTATTTAGAATTCTGTGAGGGGAGATCATATGCAGGGTGATAACTGGACTTGATATATTTGAAAAATTTATTTCCCTTTTAAAACATTTGTCTTTATTACATTGTGAAGTATGTTGTATAATCAAATAAAGTATTCAATCAAATAAAAATTAGAGCACTAACACATAACACAGCATTCCATTTGAAACTGATTTGAAAAAAAAACTTATACGGAAATACGGTATATACAAATACTAAAATATGCTCTCAGCTGGGCAATCGCGTGTCAGGTGTTAATTATGTGCAAGATAAACTAGAGAGTAAAAGAAATGTTCAATCCTAATGTAATTCAAAACTTTGGTAACTACATTCTTCTTCAGTTTTGATTAGTATCCATATCTATATTTTAATAATGAGAAGATGGCGAAAAAGTTAGTTTTAGTAGATATATAAATTGTCTGCAGTGTTCATTCAGTTTTCTTGTTCTGAGACGTCCCCGCGTTGCTACCGTGAAATGATGCACTATCTACTTTTGCGATATGGTAGGAAACGTTTGGTGGTTGTCGTACTCTTGCCATAGCGTTCGAAGACGCAGATTGATTTCCTGAAAAAAAAAATGATAAATTATAGTTTAAATTAAATTGTTATTTTTTTAAAGAAAATCGCTCAAAGCAAGATCACCTGGACTCTCACACAGAAATTGATATCTGGCCAGGCAACCACTAATGGCTAAAATGAGACTATGGAGAATTATAGGGTACTCCTGAAAAATGTGAACCAAGATGGCGGACACTGAAACCGTAGTATGTGTACCAGGTTAGGTAAGCCATAGTAAATTTAAACATTTTTGAGAAAGATAAATTGGTCCTGCGAAGTAGCTTCCTAGAAACCATAGTTGGCTCCTTACCTCATAAGTTATAATGACAGCGATGACATATTTCATTCGCACATACATAGTATAATTGGTAGTATATAAAATTTTATATTAAAACAGAAATTTTAATTCAATGTACCTCCTTTCATAAGAAGAATAGTATGTGAGATTCTGACATGCCCTTCTGACGAAATCGTATATTCAAATTCCAACTCTCGTTCACTGCTTAGCTCCTCTGATAGGTTGAAATACCGTTGACAGTGGCCTCTCGGCATCTGTTCCTCTACACGTAAATCCAATATAAATTCGATATTATTGACTGGTTTGGTGCTTTTTAGTTTTACCTCCACGCTAGATCCCAGTTGAATTGCAATTTGGTCTGCCAAAGGAAGGGCCCTGGAGTAGCCATTTTTTTCTAAGAGTTCATGACAGCGTTCTTCCGTTGCATCATGGTCGCCACAGAGTAGTATGGCGAGTTGTCTGAAGTTTTTTGTGTAGTATACAAGGGCACGGATTTTATAGTATATCAAGGAGCCAACAGCCCATGACAAAAAGGAAGAAAACCGCTTCATTATGGATGACACATTCAGGAAAATGGCATACCAGGAAAAGTGATTAATTTTAAAAGTTACAGTTTCGGAATTGTCCAAGTCCACTTGACCAATTTCTTTCCATTCATCATTGTCATCCCACTTCTTGCACATAACTGAAATTTTTATGCCTTCACATGTTGTCGTGCACCACGTAGGGAGTTCCACGCCGATATATTTCTGAAGATCGGTAGTCCCGGGCTTGATACTCAATATCGGTGATATTGCTATAAACCCTTCAGGAATATTTTTATAGTCAAAGTCCAACTGGGCGTTTATTTCAGTGAATGGTAGAAGAGCTCCTTTAGTAAACGTCAGAGAACATCTATCGAAACCAATGGAACCAGAACTAATTGCTTTGGCCCGAACTGGAAAAAAAAGTAAAATAGATTTCAATTACGTATGTTAAGACTCAAAAAAGAAATTTAAAAATTTATGAAATTGGCATTTTAGGGATATTGTATCTTTGAAAAAAAATGTTTATACCTGCCAAAAAGTATCAGTTTATAACTGGAATTTGGGTACTCCCGAAGTATGTGCACCAGGTTGGGGTTAGGCCATAATTTCAGGTACAACTATGAGAGTGATTATGACTTAAATTGGAAAAAAATTATGGCCTAAACTGGTACACATACTAAGTTCCGGTGTCCTCCATCTTGGTTTGCATACTACAGGAGTACCCATGAAATCACCGAACAAGAACACTTAATTCCAATATTTATTTAAAAATGTTTTCACTGGTTAGTCCAGGTTGAAGCGTTTATATAAACGTAATGATTATGATATTGCCAAATTCAAAGATTGGAGTTCTTGCACATCACTGTAGATACTTACCAGTAATGTGTCAGTGATGACTTGTTCAGAGTGAACCAGCTTAAAAAATTATAAAAGCGAGAAAAATAATTTCAACTATGCAATATTTACATGAATTTGATGCCTCTGAAGTCACTTCTAATCTTGACAACTTTGCATACTTTGACATATGTAAGTCAGCCCTTTCAGAATAGACTTTTATCTGGTTTTTGCAAGCTGAAACAAAATATTTTGAAAATTAAAGACCAAAATTATCGTGTTGAAGAAAGGCATGGGAGATGTGTAACATCTGAATATGAGAAATTGGAGCAAAATAAAGTTACAGGGGTGTAGAAACTGTAACTCTTTCAATTAAAATCAGTGAAAGAAAGCTACTAAACTGTGCCCCCTAAGTGTTCTTACTTGTCAGGGATATACATTCATCAAATAGTCATCCTGAAGTGAAATTCCTAATTGTTTCTCTTACAGTTAACTTTTAAGTCTTGTGTCAACTTTTATTTGCAGACATATAGGATAGGATTTACATATTTATCCCGGAGAAGAGGAAAGTCGATAATACAGCTTGACCAAATTGCAGCCTCTAGTCTGGTTACTATTCCAAGTCGGGTATGGAATTAGTTAGTTACTTGTATTCAGAAGCATGGACTTGTGGTGGAGGAAGCCATATTTCTCACAACGGTGAAAATAAGATCGACACACTAAAAAACTTTCTAAATTTTGAGTCAAAATATATATTCAACTGCAGTGAAGAATGTACGTACTATAATATTTCATAATAATGTCTCACCTTCCAAGGCTTCCACAGAATTTCCGATGCATTTCTTTCTTTCAGCATCATTAGTGTAATCAGTCGCCTGTTTCTTTACCTCAATAGTTTTGGCAAACATGTCTTCTGCTTCCTGTTTTTGACCAAGGTTAATCAGAGCAATTGATTGGTTGTTTAAAATTTTACCATACAATTTATATTGTACAGATTTTTCGCCATATCTGTCCTCCATAATTCTGATGCCTTCTCCATTTATTTCTTTAAATTCGTGATAGGCTTCCAATTCTTCGTAGCATTTTGCCAATTCGAAAAGGAGTTTCGCTTGATTTTTACTCGATAATTCGTTGTTGTCGGATAACTGTTCCCAAACTGTTGTGGTAAATGTATTTACAAGAGGAAGTAAGACTTCCTCTGCAAGACAGTTTTTTTCTTTTAGAGAAAAACTTTTAATGAGTTTTTTAGTTTGATGTAGGGAGCGAAACAAAATTTTTTCCATTTGCGCTGGTCTGCCATCACTGGGAATGTGCTGTGACAATCTCAACCATCCAAAAGAGGTGAACAGTGAAATTGTTTTGAGATAATTTTCACTTTGTCGCAAAGCGTTTTCTTTTAATGAGTGGCTTGGCTTGAATATTTGTGACTCGATGGCTTTGTCCGACTCTTTCATTGATCTTTTATTTGCTAGTTCATCAACCATTGAGGAAACAAGCTCTGAGAATATACCATTATGCTCCAATGTTTTGGGTGAAACTTGTTCGTTGAAATCAGGATTCATTTTTCAGGATAAGATTTGTACAAAACTATGCTAATTAACTAGGCTGAAAAGTAAAAGCAATATAAACACACTTTGAAATGTTAAAGTATCCTTGAATAACAATATTCTATTGAATCCGTCTTCCCAAATTTGATAAAGAAATTATCATAGTCATTAAATTGCAATTCACTTTGTCATTCATTGGGTCACAGTTTTAACAAATACTACCTAGACCACTAGTTCTCAACTGGTGGGCCACAAAAATCAGGTAATTTTTCTGTATCAGAAATGAATGATACTACTATTTTTGCAATTAAATGGTATTTTCCATTCCCTATTTGCAAAAATGAATATGTTTTTGTTTTGAGTGTAGTTTTTCCATTGTGTGAGAAAGTTAATCGGCCACAGAATTTTTTGGGCAATGAAAGTTGGTCACGAAAGAAAAAAGGTTGAGAATCAATGGCCTAGACAAATTCGATACCGCACACATATTCATCAATTTCTAGGATTTTTCAATGATTTTCCATATTTATCCCATGGGAGATTCATACCCGACATGGACTGATGAATGAGCAATAGAACATGGTTCACTTAGGGTAATAAATTGCCCTTTGAAAAAACTTAATTTGATTGAAAGAACAATTGATTAGAACAACAATAAAGATTGAAACCACTGAATAGCATTGAAAATAACATTTATTGAATATTTACGTCATTAAGAAAATTTAGCAAATTTCAATGGCATTCGATGATGTTGGGACACTCTCGCTGGGGACCATATTTCATTGAATATTTATGCATCAAGAAAATAACTAATTTCAATGGTATTCGATAAGGTTGGGGCACTCTCGCTGGGGACCATATTTCATTGAATATTTATGCATCTAGAAAATAACTAATTTCAATGGTATTCGATAAGGTTGGGACACTCTCGCTGGGGACCATATTTCATTGAATATTTATGCATCAAGAGAATACCAAATTTCAATGGTATTCAATAAGGTTGGGACACTCACTAGGGACCATATTTCATTGAATATTTATGCATCAACAAAGTATATCAAATTTCAATGGTTCTCGCTGGAGCCATATTTCATTGAATATTTATGCATCAAGAAAATAACAAATTTCAATGGTATTCGATAAGATTGGGACACTCGCTAGGGACCATATTTCATTGAATATTTATGCATCAACAAAATATATCAAATTTCAATGGTACTCGATAAGGTTGAGGCATTGTCGCTGGGGACCATATTTCATTGAATAATTATGCATCTATAAAATATAACAAATTTCAATGGTATGCGATAAGGTTGAGGCATTCTCGCTGGCGACCATTTTTCATTGAATATTTATGCATCAACAAAATATAACAAATTTCAATGGTATTCGATAAGGTTGGGGCATTCTCACTGGGGACCATATTTCATTGAATATTTATGCATCTAGAAAATATAACAAATTTCAATGGTATTCGATAAGGTTGGGACATTCTCGCTGGGGATCATATTTCATTGAATATTTATGCATCTAGAAAATAACAAATTTCAATGGTATTCAATAAGGTTGAGGCATTCTTGCTGGGGACCATATTTCATTGAATATTTATGCATCTAGAAAATATAACAAATTTCAATGGTATTCGATAAGGTTGGGGCATTCTTGCTGGGGACCATTTTTCATTGAATATTTATGCATCAACAAAATATATCAAATTTCAATGGTATTCCATAAGGTTGGCGCATTCTCGCTGGGGACCATATTTCATTGAATATTTATGCATCAAGAAAATAACAAATTTCAATGGTATTCGATAAGGTTGGGGCATTCTCGCTGGGGACCATATTTCATTGAATATTTATGCATCAAGAAAATATAACAAATTTCAATAATATTCGATAAGGTTGGGGCACTCTCGCTGGGGACCATATTTCATTGAATATTTATGCATCAAGAAAATATAACCAATTTCAATGGTATTCGATAAGGTTGGGGCATTCTCGCTGGGGACCATATTTCATTGAATATTTATGCATCAACAAAATATATTTAGGGACTAGGGACCATACTTCAATAGTGTTTTGAAACGATTTTTATACTCAACCATGTATTAACATGATATTTTTCGAAAAATAATCATGTCCATTGAAGAACTCGGAATACATTCGGCATATTCAATCAGGCGCGGAAGGTTCGAAACGATTTATCGATTGCTTTCCTACACACAGGACAGAATTTAACTCTCTCAGCGCAACCAACACAAGCGCAGATATGGCCGCATGGTTGAAATAATATTACGGCTTCCTCTGTCAGACATATCTTGCATCTCCTCTCTCTTTCTAGCTCTTTTAGTCTGAGAACAAAATACAAAAATTGAATGAAGTTTGCTACTGGGAAACGTTATCAATGGTTCATGCATCCAAGGGAATCGAGTAGACATGTGCAAAAATATTACTGAACTCATCGCTGGATTGCTTTAGTATTTATGGACAGTAAGGCCCATGCAACTAGAACGATTCTGCCATAGACTTGAGAAAGAATGAATGTCATGTATAGGAATGGGCAAAATAGATCACCGAATCGGGAGGATTCGATAACAAGATTTGGCTTCGCCTCTTCGTCGCCATGCGTCCATTTTTGTATTTCGTATTTCAAATTTATTAATCTGTTGCGAGCGTTTTCTCCCACGACAAAATCTCTCAATCTCTTGTGTTCACTCGCAAATAACTGCAAAAACGACGGATATCAAACACCGTAATCCCAGCATGCATATTCAGAATGCAAATGCGGTGGTATTGCACCATATTTGCATTTTACAATTCCACTATCTCGTTCGCTTGTAATAATATTTATTATTGGTGCTGACTGCGGACTTACTGGCAACTTTCCGATTACCTGATTGCAACAATTATAAATTTATGGAATATGTGAATCAATCTAGATTTTAAATTTTTTGCGGCCTTCGAGTTCTCCCAGAAAATGATGAGAGAGAGAGTTTATTTCATTTTGTCAAACCAAGAAAACAATTTATGCACACATAAACAAATATCAAAGAAATAGTTTTCGGTATGTGTACCAGACGTTAGGAGCTAGAACATTATTTGAGATTATTTCAGATAAAACCTGTCTCCGAAAAAACAAAGTTATATCGCAAAACAAGGCATTTTGTTACATCTGATTCGCATCCTCAATAAAATACATATTTTTCAGTATCCAGGTCGCCTTTTACAATTTGGTAATGAAGTGTATAATGCGCTTATTCATTTTAACATAGAGGGATTTTGGGATCACATAAATTTTGAACAGTTCAAGGCTAAATATAATTTGTCAATATTCTTATATTCCATTGTCCTGTTCGATAACAAATAAATTCAATCGATTTTGCTTTTTTTAACATTTTAATCATGCAATGTGGCGGGGAATTCCCACTATTTAAATACCGGTAACTATGAAAATTGAATAGGATTTGGTATTCTGGATTCGATTCAATTATTCTAGAGTAGTAAATCATTTTCTATTGCCCATCCCTAGTCATGTAAAATATCTGTCCATCTCTTCTGGGGGGCAGCTAGAATAGGGGCCTAAAACATCCAGTGAAAAATTTGGCATACCTCTCTTCTGCAGACGCCTTTGTTGTTGTAGTCGCTTCTTGTGCAGTAGGCAACGAATTAGTAGGCGTAGCAGAACAGTTCATATGATTGGTTATCTCTTCATTTTTAAGCTCTTGCCGCCTAGAAAAATGGGATTGGTAAATTTTCTCGTTCCTCACTATTTCACCCAACAAATGACGTTTTATGCTCAATATGATAATGCATGGATATGAATAATTATTACAATACAAAGCTTTTTTTAATGTCACCAAAATGAAGAAGTGTTCATGGAAACAAATTAAACCTTTAAAATCTTGAAACATTCTAATTGACAAATGGCAAAGTACTATGGTCTCACCTGTACTTTGAGTTACTCATTGTTTTGGAAGATTCTTCTGAGGAACAATAACCGCTTGAATTGGCTGTATGATAGAAAAATAGCTTAATTAGTTTGCTCCCTTCCACTCCAAACAACAACTTTTATTAAAGCGAGCATGCCCAAATTTTTTTTAACCCAGGGCTGCATTTCCTTATGTTGGTTGATACTGACAAAAGAGATAGCTTGATGGTTGGCGCCATATGCAAACCGTTAGCCTTGCAACCGCTTGACATTGCACCTCTGATTACCCTGCGTTAGTTCGCAGATTCGAATCCTGTGGAAACTAAATATGAGCGCGAGGATTGCTGGACTCTTCGCTACTGTATGGCGGTTCATACAACCACTGGTCGCTAACGGCTTCCTCCACCATCATAGTTCCGAAACAAATAACTAGCTAACTATTCCCATACCATACATTGACTGGTAATCGATGAGAGGCCGTTGTTCGCCATATAAATTGATCTGCCTTATTGGCTTTTTTCTGTCTTTGTGTAAATTTGAAATGCCTATCCAGTGGCACAGCCAGGAGGATTATCGGAGTCAGAATAAAATTTTTGAAAGCATTCAAAATAATGTCACACTAATAACGAATGCAAATTTTTTTATTGTAAAGCGGAAAAAATATAAAATACTAAAAATAAAACAGTAAACAATATAAATTTTGTAGTAAGAGGCTCGCAATCGATTACCTTTCTTCTTTGGGCATCGTGAATCAAAGAATTTTGTGTGCCTTGGGCACTGTTTGAACGGTACTGGTAAATGTAAGGTCACTGAAATCGGCTGCATTGCAATAGGGCAAAGTCAGTGTTTGCAAGTACTTCTTCAATTTGTCGAATGCGCAAAATGATAAAAATACAGATCGAACAAGATATAATAAATGCTTTTATTTTGCCGTTGCAACCTCAGGTTAAATTGAAAACATTATCCGTTAAAAGACTCGACTCTTTTAACGAGCACGAATCGCACGACTGTTTCAGAAGTGAATGGGATTTTCTGATTTTGAACCCCCTTTCCCCTATTAAAATCCTGATTGCTGCCCTGATCATATCCTAAACAATTTCAGTGAAAAGCCAATGCGACCGGCTATTCATATGGTGTATCTACACGAGGCATAGAAAAGTCAAACCATTTGATCAAATCAGGATCGGAAATTTCCATGCACCGTCTTCTGGAACGGTCACCGCGTGCATTCAATAAAATATCTCATTTTGAATTTTCGTAATATTCAATTCATGACTACTGAAATTTGAACTGTCTCATTATTTTAATCAAATTTCGTTCAACGTAACTTGCGATTGCGGCGAGACATTACTAATCTAAAATAAAACAATACGGCAATTTGCAATGTCTGAAAAAGCATCTTTAATCTGCCACGGGCCATCCCGAAACAGAAATGGTGCTTTTCGTTTTATTTTTAGTATTTTATATGTTGCTTTTCAATCAAGTAAATTAGGGTTGTATGTACTCTTTTATTAATATTAGCATCTCGTCGCCGATGACTATGTAATAACTCGTTTTCTCACAGGTGTCATGGTTCGTTTTAAAATAAAAAAGTATTTATTGTCGTCCTCGTGGCACGAAACATTTGGGTCTGAAAAAGCAACTCATTCGCCGGGAAATACTGTATATGAACTTCCCTACAGCGGAAAAAAGTCAATGCAATGTTTTGGCCCTTAATATTGAGCAGTGTCTAAGTAGCGTTTCTGTTGTGCTAAGAATTTAATAATGAAAATTCAAAGCACCTCAAAAATGCTACAAGCATGAAAGACTCGGGGTTCAATACACAAAACTCCAGTAACCAAAAATATTATAGATTTTAAGCAGCACTTACATGTACTAGATTCTGAATCTGAACTGTCAGAATCCATAAACTCGTGGAAAAGACCTGTGTGTGGAAATGTGATATGCTTATATCATGACTTCAATCGATTTAAAAAGAATCAGAAAACAAATCATGGACTAAGCTTCATTATATGATCTACAGCTAGGCAAGAAACTTTTACTGATTCTGTAATCAGTTCCAACTTTTACCAAATATTTTATTGACTGATATGCTGATTATGTAGTCAAAATTTTATACTCACCACCATGTGAATCTTGATTTCTAAAAGATTCTCCATGAACAGAACCGATTCTGGTTAAATTAAAATAAAATTACTAACATGTGATAAAATTCAAGTAAAATTTTCGGGACTACCGAAGTATGTATACCAGGTTAGGGGTTAGCTTTCCGATTTCACTTATTTTAGTTCCTTTAAACAACTTGATGTAAAGTAGGTGAACAACATTAGTTACCGGTACCTCCAAGTGGTACACACACTTCTGGAGCGCCTAACGACTAAAATGTATTTCAGTTTTAATATAGGGCGCTCCGGAAGTATGTGTACCAAGATGACGCACAACCTGAAGCCTAACCTGGTACACATACTATGTTCAGGTTGTGCGCCATCTTGGTACACATACTTCGGGAACACCTAATATAGTGTTGGACGATAGTATTAATTGTTGGAGGATGAACAAAAAGTAAAGCATGGAGAACACTCATAAGGTGCTGTATAACGTTGGCGTATAGTGCCATCACATCTCTGATTACTCTGTGTTGGTTCGAATCCCTTGAGGAATAATTAGGTGCGAGATGATTGCTGGACTCCTGGCCGCCTTAGGGTAGTTCATGCATCTGAAACATATAACTGGTTAACTAATCCCATACCCAACATGGACTGGTAACCGAGCGATACGCCATATAATTGAGCTGTATTGTTAGGTCATTCTATCAACTTTCCCCCCAGGATGAATGTGAAATTGCCATCCTATATCGCAGGAACATTCAATTTATTTTTTTGTTATCGAAAGTTTTGTTATCACTTAGGGCTGGGGAGCTGATATGAAATCACAGTGACTCAGACTCCAACGCCACAGTGTACTCAAACCTTTGCTCCGGTTCTGCAGCTATATTTTTCTATGAAGGGCTCTAGCTCCTTAATCATTATGGTTTGTGACCACTGGCATGAAAAATCAGCCCGAAATTTGATTTTGCGAAAATTGTTTTCAAAATCAATCTTTATAACTTACAAATATATATATATATAATATATTGAGAGAAGAAACTTTTAAATTGGTATTAGAAATTGAAATTTAAAAAAAATTTATGAGCTGATTTATAAATCTCATTATTTGTGAGAAATATTTAAAAATTATCAATGCTCCGGCTCCATCGAACATGGTAAGCTAGGTTCTGGCTCCGCCAAAATGTCACAGCTCCGACTCCAGCTCAGATCACACTGCAATTTCAATAGTGTTGGTTGTGATATGAATAACATAATACCTTTCTCCAACTGTTGTCTCAGGCAGAGGTGGTCGTTTTGATGCAGGCCTTTTTATGTTATTGAAGGGCTCATGTGTGTGTGGTCCACCAGATCGCGGGATATGCACTGTCGGTAAGTTATTCCTCAAATGGTTCATCTCACCTCGGAGGAATGATTGGTCAACTGAAATGTGGTAATGCTGGATTAATCAAAAAACTAGTTATGGTGAAAGAAAAGAAACTTGGTGACTAAGAGTTGATATCCTTCAGGTATACGTGGACTGAGTCAAAACACAAACAATAAGAAACTTTTGCGTCGTTTTCAAGCATGATATATGCTTGTCCGATTGTTTGTGTCCACGGTAGCACGTCATTTTTCTTTATCTTATTTTCAATTCTCCGATATTTTTGTCTGTAAGTATTTGAAAGCTAAGAAAGAATATGAAAAAAGATGATGTTAAAGAATATGTTAATACTTGAGAGAAAGTAATTTGAGCGAAGGAGCAATCGCTTTCCGCGCGTAAACAAGCTACTAATCATTACCCGCACGATAATAAACAAACAATGATTGCGCATGCTCGAAAATGCTCGCGAAAACATGCGCTTTTTGTATCTTGAATATCTAGAGTTCCACTTCGCTTCAAAAGTCAAGTTTGGGCTTGTTTTTTGAGAGACTTTGTTGTCAAGTCCATTTCGCTGGTATTTATCACAGCGATACCAAAACAAAACTTTTTTCCGAAAAAAAAAATTTTCTCTCATTTTTAATGCGACACGGTTGAGGCACACGCGTCTCGAGAAAGGGCTGCCATAAAGCGACGTAATCCAGCTTTCAAATGAGATTTAAGTGAAGTGTCTCGCACGTTTGAACAAAAAGTTATGACATTTTTTAAGAGCGGTATACAAAGAGGCTCAGAGGGAGGGAGAAATGAGATAATAGATAAAATATAGTTTATTGGGATATTTTTTTAATTGACATATATTTTTCTGGGAAGAAGAAAGCCGATAGGGCGGCTTAATCATATGCAAAACCACAGCCTCTCGTCTGGTATCAGTCCATGTTGATTTTTTTGTTTTCAGAGGCATGGACTTGATTATGGAGGCTGTAACTGACCAGCGGTTATGTGAACCACCCTTTGGCAGCAAGGATTCCAGCAAACCTCCCGCATATAATTATACTCTCAAGATTCAAACCTGCGAATCTGAGGTGTAGTGGCAAACCTATCCCTAACACTTACCACGATGCACTACAGCGCCAAACCTTTAAGGATAAGAACATTAATAGGATGGTTTATCAATTAGCAAATCCAGCACAGTTAACAGGCCAGGTATGAGGGTGGCCAGAAGAACATTTTTTTTTTATTCATATAACTAGAAGGTGGAGAAGTCTTTACCACACAAGTGATTAGATGAACAGTCTTGGGGCAAAGAGAGTTCAGTTATATATAATAGTATTATTTGAGGTAGAAATAACAAATCCCATTCTAAATTCGTGAATGGTAGTACCCTCTCTCAAATCTGTTTCAGTTTAACTAATAAAAAATATATTTGATAAGTTTAATCCTACACTTACAATCATTTGTCATGATTTCATCAAATGATTGTCCATTGATCATCATCCTCTGTGGGTTTGATGTGTGTGCGGTAGAATGACTCGAGTTGTTAATTGGTGAACAGGGCCCAATGAAGCGTAGCATCCGACCATCCATGTGTATCGCATTCTCTGCTCCGCCTACAGCTTCTTCTAAACCATCGGCCTCATCTGCGGCTCGCTGTTTGCCAACTAAAGCTTCATTCAATGCTTCACTGGAATTCGTAAGAAAATAAGTATTAAAACAAAAGAATTGTTACTCAACCAACTGATTTGAGAATTTAAAAGCAAAAATTATGATGCAATATGTGATGTCGGGTCCTATTTTTCCCTGAACAAACTTTTTAAGTCACATAAAATGAAAACATCATCAAAGAGAAAGATTTACAAACGATTTAATTGGCCTTTTTTTTCTTCTTGCATAATCACAGAAAATCTCATCTGGTGGTTCAGCAGTGTGCCACATCGTTGTTTCTGTGTAGCGCAGCGCTAGCCTACTTACTGAAGGTAAATGCGTTCGTTTCCCGCTGATTCTCATTGATGACAATACTAATTAGTCTAAATTCGAATTATTTGTACCGGTATCGTTAACGTCAATTCCTTCCTATTTTTTGAATTGAACCCGATATTTAGACAGAGAATATGCGCATGAAATTTCGATAACAATATGGTCAATAAAGACAGACGAAACAGCTTTAAATGTAGGCCTATGTAGTAAAATCGGAAAATGTGAAGGTATAAAATCACAGCTAAGGGGTCGTTGTCTTTCGAGGTGTCTCGATTTGAAGTCACAAAAATATGGTAACCCTAACTATTCCCATGCCCTACATGGACTGGTAACCTGACAAGAGGGAGTGGTTCACCATATGATTGAGCCGTCTTAGCACCTTTCCTCTCCTCCAGGATAACTACGGAAATCTTTTCCTATACTACATGCTCTAGTTCAGGGTCATCCAACCCGTGGCCCGCGGGCCACATGTGGCCTGCCGAAGGTTTCCGAGTGGCCCGCGCGGTATTTTTCATCTCCCAATGTCTTTCTAAAATCTGTGCCATTATTGAAACCTCTAATAAAATAATTATTCCTCGTCATTCAAAAGCGCGAGCTATCGAAAGCTTATTTATGTCCCTTTGTGGGCGTTATTGCTGGAGAGAGATGTTTAAATTTATTTTTATCGTCTTCCATGAATTTCAATCTGTTTTCCTGTTTTTTTTCTGTCAAGCTAGAAGAGTTTTTATGACCTTAATATTTTACAGAACCTAGGCTACTTGTACGAGCAAGTTTATTCGCGGATGAATCATATCAAATCCCCCGTGAGATCACTAATTTTTGATAGTCATTTGAAAATTTCTTTGTGCATTGCTACATCGTCCATCGCACCGAATATTGACAAACTTATTGGATAAAAGCGGTGTCATACTTGACATTAAAATATTAATGTGTGGTAAAAACTTTTGACTTAACAGTATCTTCGTAGTTTTATTATTTTTTATAATTTTAGTACATGGGCTTTGTTTGTTTTTTCATTAATCTGTAGTCGGTGTAGTGAAAACTAGAACATAACAACAAAAATCAGCATGAACCAACCTAAAACAAAGAATTCCCAAAAAATTCGATTGTACCTGACTGAAATGGTCCCAAATAAAAAAAAACTTGTTGAAATTCCTCCATGTTATTAAAGACGCCACATACCGTCATTAGTCTACTTCTTTAATTGATTTGCAATAAATTAGTTTGTAATTTTATGTTTCATAGTATTGCGTTGGGGATTGGGAGGGGGGGGGAATGATGATGCCAAAAGTACTGTATGTTTGGTATATTATTTTAAAATCTGGGTATTGGGATTTCGCAACCTCAAACCCAGTTTTCATTTTCTGCTCGTTTAAAGCCTTGTTCAGAGCAAAAGATTAAAAATACAGCTTGAAAAATTCAACTCACTCAGGATAAAATTTCGCATGCTCAAACCAAGGGTCGTCTCCTTCTTCAAAATTCATTAAACCTCCCCCACAGAACCAGCATTTGCATTTGTCCCCATCGCCTGAAATTTAATTAAACCTTTAAGCGAGTATGGAAATATGCTGATACATAGATAAAAATTGTCAGGATTCACATATTCATCCCGGGAAAAAGGAAAGACAATAGGACGGCTTAATCATATAGCAAACCACGGTCTATCGTCCGGTTAGCAGTCCAGGTCCACTATGGGATTAGTTACCCAGGTATTTGTTTTGGAAGCATGGACTTGATGGTGGAGGAAGCAGAAATATTATGGATTCTTCTATAACTCTTGGATCTTATGGTAGGTACGCACTACTTTACCACAACTTAATGCTGTGAGTGAGCAAGCGTGACCTTGATTTTCGAATCATTAACTACTTTATAGACAAAAATTGTGATACTAGCTACAAGACTGAAAAGTGTGAAGTTTGTGTATAACAACTTTCGGTGTACTCCTGTAGTGTGTGTACCAAGTTTGGGTTAGGCAATAATTTTATTCTGATTTTCCTTATTTTAGTTCTATTCTGATGTGTTAACCAAGTGAATATACCCCTGTCCATAGGTTTCAGTCTCTTTAAACAACTTGCTGTTAAGTAGGCAAACAAAATTAGTTACCTCCATATTGGTACACACACTTCTGGAGCGCCCAACTTTATATTTTAAAGTTCTCACCCAAATAGTACAATCCAGCCTGGGCCAATGTTCTATCGCTTGCTGTCAATCTAGTATTTCTTCTGAATTCAGGATTGTTTGTGAATGTTTGAAGTCTTATGTGCTCTTCACGCATACTTGGGTTGTTCAGATTTTCACAGGGAAATAGCAACTAAGAATAAAAAGTTGGATTTTATATTAGGTATGGGACTGAAAACACAGTCCAAAAGATGTTCAAGTATTTTGATTTTTTGACTGAGGTGAGTTCATGATATTGAATAATTTACTATTTCAGATTTAAAACCTGTTTCTAGTTCAATTTTTTTTGTAAATATATCCAGTAAAATCACTTTGTAACCAAAAGTGAAGAAAAATGGGCGCTTCAGAAGTATTTGAACTAAGATGGCAGACACAGGAAGGTAGTATGTGTACCAGGTTAGGGTTAGGCCATGATTTTATTCCAATTTTAGTTCTATTACGAGTTCGGGGACTGGCCAAGTGACTTTTGTAGTATTTGTACGTGAAATTATGTCCTAACCCTAACCTGGTACACATACTATGTCCCGGTGTCCACCATCTTGGTCCACATACTACAGGAGTCTCGAAAAATGTTCTACTGGAAATGGAAAGTCACAGAAAACAAAGCTAGGATCAACGCGCAACAATCATATGACTCTACAGCAGGGGTCACCAACCTTTTCGAAGCCGAGGGCTACTTTCTGGGTACCAATTAAGCCGAGGGCTATCAGTTCAATGCACACTTTTAAAAAAGTCAATTTGCTCGAATTATTGATAATTACTGGTATTTAGTCAAGTAAAAACACTGATAAATTTAGGATTCTTCAGGAAATCAAACGATGATCACAACATAGCAATGACACTTCCTTTTTCAAACTGAGTGTTTTTCAAATTGATTTTAAAGTGATCACAACAATAATATCTCTGGAAACCACAGTTCCACAATGTACCTACTTTTTTACAAACACCATGCATAACCCTAAGATGAAATGAACTTAACAGTTGTATTGCCGAATGCTACATTTACAAACACATTTAGCTAATTATGAATATCTTGTTTTCAACAAGGAGAAAACCAAAATCGAACAAATCTGGTCTAACGCTCCACACCATGTGTTGTACTCCAGCGTGTAACTTGACAATGTAACTCTGAGCGGGTCTTGCAGATTTCCATCAGTAAAGCGTATTTTGTGCTTAGTTCCCTGTAAAGTTCATGTCAAAAAATGTTGATTCACAAAGATGGCTTGAACCAAACACTGATCTCGTAATATAGGATTGCTGTTTGAATTAAAAGGCGAGATTTTTCTGCCAGTACTGCGCTGACCAATGGACAGTGACTGGATGTGAAATATCTCTTCGTTTTGTCGTCGCTATGAACTCCCCGCAAATGAGACATACGCAAGCTGTTTTCACGGTGGTAAAAGGATATCCACCTCCCATTCATTGTGAAAATGGTAGGTTTTTTTTTCGTTTTTCTGCCATTTTTCTTTGAAATCAATAATTGTATTATTGGCATTGCTGCTTCACAAATCAACGACACGGAAAATCGCGGGTTCGTGGAAGGTGACATCTGTGTGATGTCATAATTGGGAGAGTATTAAATGACCCGTCACAATACTGAGGTCAAATGAAAGTTAGAATGATCGTTACCATAATAATTAACATAGTGTTATTCCCAGTTCCCAAATAAGACATACCGTAAGTGTGATTTATACAGGAATAACATGACAAAAATTGATTAATATACCTTACTTATGAGTGCCGTTATTAAGCTTATTTTGGAACAGACCTGCGGGCGACTCATGTGGTCTTCACGGGCGACTTGGTGCCCGCGGGCAACGGGTTGGTAATCCCTGCTCTACGAGTTTATTATCTGATTGTTATTACCATACTTAAAAATTTAAATTTTAGGGTAAGTGAGAGCTAGAGTGAGGTCGTGAAAGCATTCCATAAGTTGAGAGAGAGTTGCTATTTTGTTACTCAAATATAAATGTTACTCGCGATAACATTTCTGAGAAAAAATAGAACTATATTGTTATAGACCAGCAATGGCCAACCAACGACCCACCGCAAATTTGTGCAACCCTTGGCAACTCGTTTCGCCGATTCTTAACCAGCTATTCATAATAAGACTCTTCTTCCGAGTTTCCTAAGTCCGAGTGTTGCTCAGATAAAAATCATTCTTTTGTATCCTGCAATTGTGATATGATAATATACCACATTCAGGACAGGCTGCAGGAATGTGTGTCTGGAATGTCAATTTATTTGAAATATGCAGTCCACACTTTAGTTACAATTTTTGTGTGTTCATTCCACGTAGAGAATAAACACAAATTGAACTTATTGATCCCGAGGCAACCACAGATTTTAAGTGTATACTACGGTAGTTGCTCAGAGATTATACAAAATTTACTATGTTGAAGATAAGTTTTTAATTAAGGATAAGGTAAAGGGCAATAAATTTTGTGGCAGCAATAGGAACAACCTTTTTGTGTGAATATTTCTTCTCAAGAGCGAAACTATTACTAATCAATTACCCCGTGCAGCATCAAAGATGCCAAGACGATAAAAAGAATAAAACAAATTACAGCCGACAGTACAAGGGCGCCCCGTGGAATACAATTTAAAACATATCAGCCCAAAAACTAGATTTAACACAAATCATGTTTGGGAGAACACCTGCGAAAAAAATTGGGTCTAGAAAAGAGACTTATAACTCGAGAAATACAGTGTTTTATACTGCGCTTTTTAACCTCATATACTTTTTGGAAGCAGGGACCTATTCATACAGCTACTATTGGGAAAAACCGGAGTATTTCGAGTTCAACATTGCCTACGCACCTTGGGTACTTTGGGAGATAAAGGAACACAGTTATTCTTATTTTTAAAAATAGATTTTAAGGTATAGGATGCTTACTCTGAATTGTGCATCATCAGGAATCGCTGATTCTTTATTGCTTTGCATAGATTGTGTATTAACTCCACTCTGTAATTGGTACTGTAGTGCATTTGATACTGAAAAAACATTATAATTTATAAAAAAATATATACAGTATATATTTTTTTGTAATAATTTAGTCCCATGCCTTCCCTTACAATTTATCATCAAGCCTGCTAAATGATCAAAGTGACTTGACCAGGTAACATATCCCGTGTGCTCTGATTAAACAAAGCAGTAAGATAATGACAAATAAGCAAGAATTATGACTTACATGGGGGCGAACTTTGCACAGGATGCTTTCTCACAAATTGACAGCCTTCGATATGGAAACGAGGATCACTAGGTTTGTCTGTCGCATTCAATGTGCTTATGTCTGCTAACTTGTTGCATCTAAAAAACATTTAAAGATTTATGTAGCTGCGGTGTGGCACAACGTGCTAAGCATTAGGAATATGCTTGCCACCGCACTTCTGATTACCCTGCGCAGGTTCGAATGTGTTCGTTCAATATGTGCAAGAGGATTGCTGGACTCCTGACCACCGTAGGGTGGTTCACATAACCGCTGGTCGGGTACGGCTTCCTCCACCATCAAGTCCATGCATCTGAAACAATCACTGGCTAAATTATCCCATACCCGACGTGGACTGGTAACCGGACGAGAGGCCGTGGTTCTCCATATGACTAAGCCGTCTTATCGACTTTCCTCTCCTCCTGGATAAATATGTGAATCCTATCCTGTAAATTCTAACATTATCAATGGGATAAATAAAAATAACCCAATCTCTTTCCATGATATCTTCTTGAAAAATATCATGATATTATATTTATCACATTACTGGTGAACCGAAAGACCGTATGTATGGAATATGCGTGAATGATAAAAATTCATACACTCAAAAATTAAATTTTAAAAAATAAAAATTACTTTGAAATAAAGCAATAGGATGATCTTACTAGGAAATGAGCTATCCAAACCCAGAACAACTGTACACAATTATTGTTAAATCAGAGAATTGTGTGAATTTAGTGAAGTGTGCTACAAGGCGGAGAAGTTTGAAATAAATAAGACACAACGTCTGGTGCTCCGGAAATATGTGCACCAAGATGGCACACAAGCTGATAACACTAACCTGGTACACGTACTATGGTCAGATTGTGCGCCATCTTAGTGCACATACTTCGGGAGCACCCAGCATCTTTATGTACCTTACTGGGAGATAACTCATACATTCAATGTAATAAATATGATGATACAACAATTTTATGCTAAAAAAAACATATTAGACTTACCCAGTACATGTTTGGTCTTCTGATATCTTGTTGTAAAAGAATCCACTTTTTGCAAACTGGATCGGGTTGAGTTGAAGCGTCTCAGAGAAATCTTCAAAAGAATAAAATCTTTTGGAGAAATCCGCTGGATAACATGAGGCTGAAATGAAAATGAGAATAATAATATTATGAACATTTTGAAACTGTGATAACCTTAAGTGGTCCAAGATAACAAACAACAAACTTAATTGTTATATATTCAAGAATTTTTTTAAGCAAATAATGAATTTATAAACGTTCTACCAACACGGTCTGATTCCAGCTCATCATCGTATCATTAATTATTAACTAACACAGAAAACACAGGTTTATATTTTGTGGAAGATTCATGAGCGAACATGAAGCATTGTCGCTCAAGTCCTTAGGGCATTCATTTGCTCCGAAAATTACAATTTTGAGTAATCAACCTTTCACTGTGATCACTGTTTGTGAGAAATTCAATAAGTGAATATCAAGTTTCACTCAATTCATGAAAGTCACAAATGAGAAGAAATGTCAAAATTTGAGAGAATAAGTTGGTTGATAAATGGTCCAGAATGAAAATTTTTCATCAATCTAACTCACTTATTGCAATGGATATGCATAAAGCTCAATATCATGATACTGAATCGTTTACATCAGGGGTCTCTAACTCAATTGACCTAGGGGTCACTGGAGGCAGAGTCTAGGTGGGTCCGGGCCACATCGGGTTTTGGATAATAAAATCTTAGTTTCAAAAATTCAAATCTTCTCCTACTTTATATTCGTTCAATCAAGCAATTTGATTGGTCGGCGATGGACAGTGATGTCTCACCACATGAAAAACATGGTTACAACGTATCAATATAAATCTAAGCGTTAGTTTGGATAATATGAGGCTGAAAAGAATATAAGAAGAATATTATTATGGCCATTTTGAAACTGTAGCAGCCTAAGTGGTCAAATATAACTAACGACAAACTTGATTGTCGTATATTCCTGGAATTTTTTCGGCATCTAATGAATTCATAAACATGCTACAACTACAAACACATACAGTATTTAGCGACTTTCAAACAGTCGTGCTGTGCATCGGCTGTTCAAATGTTTTACGCCAAGCAACTGGTGGAAGGGCGAGGATTACAGAAGGCTGATCTTTCCAGGCGAAAAAACACTAAAAGTTTTTGTCTAAATACCAAACTTACACGAGTCAGAATTACGACTATGATCTAGTCTTAAGAATTGATAACAGCGTTCCATGAGGAATGTAGGTGGATTGGGTATGTCAGGCACAAATAATTGGTTGTCTGATCTAGGAAAACACATATCCCCCCCGGCACTGATAATTCAAAATTACAAATTGTTATTAACGCTGCAGTAAGATAATGACAAATAAGCACGAATTATGACTTACATGGGGGCGAACTTTGCACAGGATGCTTTCTCACAAATTGACAGCCTTCGATATGGAAACGAGGATCACTAGGTTTGTCTGTCGAGTTTAATGTGCTTATGTCTGCTAACTTGTTGCATCTAAAAAACATTTAAAGATTTATGTAGCTGCGGTGTGGCACATCGTGCTAAGCATTAGGAATATGCCCCTGCGCAGGTTCGAATGTGTTCGTTCAATATGTGCAAGAGGATTGCTGGACTCCTGACCACCGTAGGGTGGTTCACATAACCGCTGGTCGGTCAAGGCTTCCTCCACCATCAAGTCCATGCATCTGAAACAATAACTGGCTAACTTATCCCATACCCAAAGTGGACTGGTAACTAGACGAGAAGCCGTGGTTCGCCATGTGACTAAGCCGTCTTATCGACTTTCCTCTCCTCCTGGATAAATATGTAAATCCTATCCTGTAAATTCTAAAATTATCAATGGGATAAATAAAATTAACACAATCTCTTTCCATGATATTTTGTTGACACATATCATGATATTGTATTTATCACATTACTGGTGAACCGAAAGACCGTATGTATGGAATATGCGTGAATGATAAAAATTCATACACTCTAAAATTAAATTTTAAAAATAAAAATTACTTTGAAACAAAGCAATAGGATAATCTTACTAGGAAATGAGCTATCCAAACCCAGAACCACTGTACACAATTATTGTTATGGCAAAGAATTGTGTGAATTTAGTGAAGTGTGCTACAAGGCGGAGAAGTTTGAAATAAATAAGACACAGCGTCTGGTGCTCCGGAAATATGTGCACCAAGATGGCACACAAGCTGATAACACTAACCTGGTACACATACTATGGTCAGATTGTGCGCTATCTTGGTGCACATACTTCGGAAGCACCCAGCATCTTTATGTACCTTACTGGGTGATCACTCCTATATTTAATGTAATAAATATGAAGATACAACAATTTATACTAAAAAAAACATATTAGACTTACCCAGTACATGTTATGTCTCCTGATATCTTGTTGTAAATGAATCCACTTTTTGCAAACTGGATTGGGTTGAGTTGAAGCGTCTCAGGAAATTCTTCGAAAGAATAAAATCTTTCAGAGAAATCCGCTGGATAACATGAGGCTGAAAAGAAAATGAGAATAATAATATCATGACCATTTTGAAACTGCGACAACCTTAAGAGGTCCAAGATAATATACAACAAACTTAATTGTTGTATATTCTAGAATTTTTTTAAGCAATTAATGAATTTATAAACGTTCTACCAACACGGTCTGATTCCAGCTCATCATCGTATCATTAATTATTAACTAACACAAAAAACACAGGTTTATATTTTGTGGAAGTTTCATGAGTGAACATGAAGCATTGTCGCTCAAGTCCCTTAGGGCATTCATTTGTTCCGAAAATTACAATTTTGAGTAATCAACCTTTCACTGTGATCACTGTTTGTGAGAAATTCAATAAGTGAATATCAAGTTTCACTCAATTCATGAAAGTCACAAATGAGAAGAAAAGTCAAAATTTGAGAGAATAAGTTTGTTGATAAATGGTCCAGAATGAAAATTTTTCATTAATCTAACCCACTCATTGCAATGGATATGCATAAAGCTCGATATCATGATACTGAATCGTTTACATCAGGGGTCTCTAACTCAATTTACCTAGGGGCACTGGAGGCAGAGTCTAGGTGGGTCTGCCACATAAACACAATAAAATCTTAGTTTCAAAAATTCAAATCTTCTCTTACTTTATTTTCGTTCAATCAAACATATAACATTCAAACATATAACCCACCCGGCACTGATGATTCAAAATTACAAATTGTTATTAACGCAGCAGTAAGATAATGACAAATAAGCACGAATTATGACTTACATGGGAGCGAACTTTGCACAGGATGCTTTCTCACAAATTGACAGCCTTCCATATGGAAACGAGGATCACTAGGTTTGTCTATCGCATTCAATGTGCTTATGTCTGCTAACTTGTTGCATCTAAAAAACATTTAAAGATTTATGTAGATGCGGTGTGGCACATCGTGCTAAGCATTAGGAATATGCTTGCCACCGCACCTCTGCTTACCCTGCGCAGGTTCGAATGTGTTCGTTCAATATGTGCAAGAGGATTGCTGGACTCCTGACCATCATAGGGTGGTTCACATAACCGCTATTCGGTTACGACTTCCTCCACCATCAAGTCCATGCATCTGAAACAATAACTGGCTAACTTATTCCATACCTGACGTGGACTGGTAACTGGACGAGAGGCTGTGGTTCTCCATATGACTAAGCCGTCTTATCGACTTTCCTCTCCTCTTGGATAAATATGTGAATCCTATCCTGTAAATTCTA